AATCTTATATTTTGGATACTATGTGCACTGTAAATTAAGTCTTTTTTATTTAAATTACGTTTCCTACGTTAAAATTGATCAACATATTGCTTACTTAACCATCAATTATGAAACCTAACCTTTAAACTAACTTAGTTGAACTAAAATTAATTTTTCGTTATCTCGGATATTGGAAAGTAGCGACGATGATCGTTGCACGCCGCCGGAGATTCGGAAAAAAGCAGAGGAAATTAACAGCGATTTGCTACCGAAGCAGTGAAAAGATGCATACGAAGATGCGTACAAAAAGTTCGTTCAATGGCAAGAGGCTAACAACGCAATCACGTTCGCAAACTGTTTGAAGGTTTATTTCAAAGACCTATTTAAAACTTACAAACCATCCACTATTTGGTCTAAATATTCTAAATTAAAAAGTACGATTCAAATTCATGAAAAGATTTCGATTGATAGTTATAAAGAATTAGCTGCGCTACTTGGACAAAACTCACGAGGATACAAATCCAAGAAATCGAAAGTGTTTTCTACTGCAGGAGTAAATGCATTTCTTGAAACTGCGCCAAATGAAATTTATTTGGCAATGAAGGTAAGAATTAATTACTTTAAAATTAATTACTTTAAAAAAATAAATAAAAATTATTAATAAATATGTAAAATAAATAATAAAAAGCAATAAAATAAATATAATTAATAAATAATAAAAAAAATCGATAATAAATAGCAATTTACATAAAAAATAAATAAGAAAAGAATATGATATAGAAAATTGTAATATATAAATAAATTAATATAAAGGTACCGTAAAATGAGGTAAAGTCGGCGTTTGCGGGTAAAGTCGGCCGGCGCTTTAAACACTTACTTAAATATTGTATTTCATTTATTAATTTACATTAATTCTAACTACATTTTTAATAAAACTCGGATTTCTTTTGGAAAAAAGTAATAGTTAAACTTTAAAATGATTTAAAGCGCCGGCCGACTTTACCCTCAAACGCCGACTTTACCTCATTTTACGGTACCTTTATATTAATTTATTTATATATTACAATTTTCTATATCATATTCTTTTCTTATTTATTTTTTATGTAAATTGCTATTTATTATCGATTTTTTTTATTATTTATTAATTATATTTATTTTATTGCTTTTTATTATTTATTTTACATATTTATTAATAATTTTTATTTTTTTTTTAAAGTAATTAATTTTAAAGTAATTAATTCTTACCTTCATTGCCAAATAAATTTCATTTGGCGCATCTTATCTTTGTTTATGCTGTTGCTAATTAACAAACGAAAAATGGGATAATACTTAGAATCTCTTGAAGAGGACCTAATAAATGAATAATATAAACAATAAATGTAATAAATAAATATAATTAATAAATTGCAAACAATCTATAATCAATAATCTATTTGATTTACAGGTTGTTCTTATCTTTGGAGTGAGTGGTTTTTGCCGAAAGCACGAAATTTATTCGATTAAAGATGATCATCTCAAGAGACAGGGAGAGCTCTTTGAAGTTATCATTCCTGACACTAAAAACAAGGTTCCAAGGAGATTTTTTCTCGACCTGAAGTTTGTCCCAATTGTTGAACAATACCAAGCTCTCCGACCTTTAAACGTGCTAAGGGACAATTTTTTCCTGCAGTACCACAATGGTAAATGCAGTGTGCAAGTTATAGGTATAAATACAATAGGCAAAATGCCTAAATTGATTGCACAATTTTTGAAGTTGTCGAATCCAGAAGAATATACAGGGCATTCCTTCCGAAGAACGTCTGCTACAATTTATGCAGATACGGGAGTTTCCACAATGGAGTTGCAGCGTCATGGAGAGAAGTCCGCAGCAGTGGCACAAAGCTACGTAGAAGATTCCACTGAATATAAAAAATAACCGCCAAACGAATTTCCAACGCCATAATTGATCGATAAAATGAAAATTCGGAAAATCCCAGTGTTCTCTTGGAGAAACTTAATGTTAGTAATTCTGAAAGCTTTAATTTAAATGTAAACAATCCTTCACCAGGAAAAATTGTGATTCAAAATTGCAGCAACGTAACTATTAATTATAACTAATATTAACTTTTTTACAGTATTAAAGTCAACGTTTAGTTAAAAAAAATTTAATCTTGAGATCAAGACTGACCCCTTAATTAATGTTACCAAACGTTAAAGCTTTAATAAGCTAAAGAAAAGATAAATATAAAATTCTAAGCGTGGAAATGTTTAATAAAATGTACAAACATGTTATATTTCATTTTAACAAATAAAGTTGAATATTTATAATATAAGTTACCTGACGTAACTTGTGTGAACTGCATTTTGAAACTCGCGCCAGTTTCTGGAACTCGTTTAAAAAACGCTATCAGTTCACACTTGTTACGAAATGTACTATTTTGGACAAAAAAATTAAATTTACTGTATAAAGAATTCTTTGAAAATTCTTGTGTTGGATTTTAAATATTGATGACTGCAATAAGCCTACAAATTTTCAGGAAGATCCATCAAAGAGTGTTGGAGATAATTTGTACACAAGATTTTGTGACATACACACACACACATCTGGACTTTTGTTTAAAACTTCAAATATATTTATTCTAGGTAAAAATAAGCCCACATAACCCATTTTTAAAAAATGAAAAATCGTCACGAATACAAAGCTTTCTCGGCAGGAGAGGAAGAAAAATGATTTAATATATAGATTTCATTAAAATAAGAACTTTATAAGGTTAATCGCAAGAAAACAGTTTTTTTCCCAACCAAAATTAAATTTACAATGAAATGAATTTTTTGAAAAAAATGTAAATATATTTGGAATTCCGTGTGTCAGATTTGAGGTATTCATGACTGCAATAAGCATACAAAATTTCAGGACAATTCGTTAAAACGTTTCTGAGATAGTTTGTACACAATATTTTGTGACATACACACACACATCTGGACATTTACTCAGCACTTCAAATATATTAATTCTAGATAAGAATGACTCCTTGTAACCATTCTTTTGAAAAATTGAAAATCGTCATGAAAGCAAAGCTTCTTCATGAGGAAGCAAAAACGAATATTTTTTTATGAGATTTGAAATTAAAATATGATGTTTTTCTAATTCATATGATTAATCTATGTGTAAATTTTAATTTTGAATCATATCTGTACATAAATCACTGAAAAACGATGTGAAAAAAACAAAAATTCTTGTCCAAGTGACGTCATGAGGACGACAAATTAAACATTTTATTATAATAGGAGATATTTGTCTACTCTAAAAAAATCGATTCAATTTGTCTGAAATTCATTATTCGGGAGTTTTTGGGGTGCAGGGTTGCGAGACCGTACCAGAATTATGTAATCGTTCCTTAATTTGACCTTTTGTACCATGTACCATCCATAGTTTGTCACGTACCATAATTTTGAGTCAGTCATTATTTTCAAAAAAATCGAACGTTTTTTTATAAATTACCCGTGGATGATCGTCAAGGTACGGTCACATTATTTCATGCATGCATCGTGCATGCATGCAGAAACATTTAGCAAGTCACACTTCAACGAAATCTAGTGAATGTTTAGTAACTTTCTAGTTACAACCGAAATTTTTGGAAAATTACTAGAGATTTCTTTGAACTGTTACCAGCCAAATATTTCTGCATGCATGCATCATATAGTGTGACCGTACCCTCACTGTGCAAAAAATATAAAGACCCCATCACATGACAGCGTAAATATAAAGGTAAAGAGCGTGAAACCAATAGGAACGCTCTGTTAGAGTAACACATCAAGAAATTTGAATGAAAATAAGGCATTTAATGGTTGTTAGTTTGAAAATGAGGAAACATGTGATATTACGTTTGATTCAAAATAGAATTTTTAATTTGTTCAATTTTAAGATTTTATATTAGATTAAGAGTTCCTTTTTACTCAAGTTGAACTAATTTTAAAAATTTTGCCAATAAATATTTAACGTTAAGAACTATCAATTAACAAGAGCATAATACTGTTAATTTATTATTAATATTTATTTTAAAAATTTGAAAATCTACGGAACTGAATTTTTTTTCTTTAAAAATTTTAATTAACAAGGGCATAATATTGTTAGTTTATTAGTAATATTTATTTAAAAATGTATAAAAATAAAGAAATTATTCTTGAGTAACCGTATTAATAAAATTTATCTCAGTTTAAATTTGAATTTCGCGCTGTGTACCATAATGTACCATAAGTTTGATAGGTCGAGTCCATAATTTTCTTTAACGCATCTGGCGACACTGCCGTCTACTTTTTCTGTCTCCGACGGGCGAGTATACTTACAATACGCCTATCGTTACAGCTGGACACTCAAATGTCACGAGGACGATTTGGAGATGAAAATAAAAAAGCTGAATAAACACTTTTAATGTTAAAATAATTTGAATTTTTTGATATTTTTTTAATTTAGTAATTAATATTAAGAAGTTAAGTTGAATTTTAGTTAGCAATAAAAACATTCTTGACAAAAAGTATATTTGTAAAATATATTGCAATTTTATTTTTGAGGCTAGCTACGTTTTTCTTATATGAAAAATAAAATTAATATTTACAGAAAAACTTATTCTTATAAAGACTAAGATACAAAAAAATGGTCAAAACTTCAGAAGCACTTTACATGAAACAGTTAAGAATAAAAAATTAAGGAAATTTGACAAATACTTAAATTGCTACTGCTCTTGCAAATAAAAAAACTGCAATAAATCAGACAGTTTTTGAAGAAAACTATTCAAATTGGGCACGTTTGACGCACAATTTTGTACGCTTGAATATTACATGAAGAGAAAAAATGTTTAAAACATAATTAATGCGGTAAACATCAGTTTAAGTTGTTAAATTGAGGAAAAACTGACAATTTCCACACTGAATTGGAAAACTAATCACTAGTACGAATTCTGTTAGTAAAGTTGATCAACTACAAAAAAGAAATAAATTCTGTGTTCTGTTTTTCTATTTCACAACACATATAACAAACTTACTGTGGTAAATTTCGGTGCTCAGGATCAAAATTGATTATACTTATTTTTCTTCCTTCAGAATTAATATGCGCCTGGCAATAAGTGATACAGGCAATTAAAATACACAAGATAATATTTTTTCGACCACATATTGATAAATTCAGAAGGTACATTTTACTCATTTCCTTTTTATACTTTCGATACCTATAAAGAGAAAGAACATAAATGTTTTAAAGTAATTGATGGACAAAACTTATAGCTTAGAAAGTTTAATACTAGTATAGTTTGATCCTACATTGGCAAAACCAAGTGGTCTTGGCTCTCGGGTTTTATGCTGGAGGTACAGGGTTTGATTCTTCTTTAGTTAATTTTTTTTCATTATTGTTTTTTAAAATTTTTTTTTATTTTCAAACTGTCATATACATTAAAAGAAAACAATAATTTTTAATTTTTAATATCAAAAAACATTAAAAGAAAACAATAATGAACAAAAAATTTACCCAAAAGAAGAATCGAATCCCGCACATCCAGCATAAGAGTCTAAACTCATAACCACTGCGCAATTGCTTACCTCGTCTTACTTGTCTCTGCGGCAGGTACTTATATAGCGCGCGCGAAAAGCACAGTTATAAAAAATTTATTTATTGAAGAATTCAAGCTAGTGGGTCATGTCACTGTTGGATAAAACTATACTGATAATGAATTTTTTATACTGTCAGTTTTGAACAGAAAGCTGCGGGAACATTGGCGCTGAAGCATTATTAACTCTCACACCGGGGATATATACTATTATACGTGTTTATGTTTACCTTCTTATCAATCTAGGCCTTAATTTGCTTCGGTTCTGAGAAATTAATAAGTTCAAAAATGTGGTTGAATGACCGTAAACATAAATGTTTAGATGATGATCACCCACATTACGTAAGTTATACAAAAGAAAGAATGGCTATTGTCTAAATTTAAAGGGAGATTGTATTTTTAAATTTAATTATTTGATACAATGGACACGTGCCAGTTATATCAACAGATATCATTGTAATAATATAATAGAATTATTTAAATTAGATCAATTCTTAAATTTATCATTTCTATAGGTATATTTAAAAGAAAATATTTATTTTGTTTTAGAAAACTTGTTGCTTGTTTACCAAATTAGAGAAGTCTTTCCCATAATTATTCGGTAGATCAGTTGTTTATTTTCTTATTCAGTTCTATTTTTATATATGAATGAATGTCATATATCGTTTCGAAGTTGAATATTTTTACTTTACAAAAAAAATAAATATTTATTATTAATAGAAAAATAAAATATACAATCAATCATATACTATAATTATTTATTATTTAAGTTTGAATAATTAATTGTGAGTTCGTTCTGAATGAAATTAAATGAAATAATTTTATTAATTAACTTAAATTTTTCACCTTTTATCTGACTTCTTTTAACGAATTTTCTTTTCCTCAATCAAAATTCAAAATTATCTCGCAGTCTTATTTCTATAAAATAAAATTTTACAGAAATAAAAGAAACCTGTCAATTCCTATCGACTATCAAGGTCAAGTTCTCTATTCCCTAAATTAGTTAATCTGCCATAAGTAAATTAATTTTGCAAGTATTTCCCTTAGACTTAGATTTATTTAATATGTTATATATTTTACAACACATTAAAATGATCAAAGTCAAATGGAAAATGAATAAAAAAGTCATTTACCTCTCTGAAAATTTGCTAAACAAATAATTTAAGTAAATTATTTATTTCCTAAATTAACTAATTAATTGGAGGGCAGGGATTCATAATCAATTGAATCTTACACATTAACAAATTGATCGCCTATTGCAATGAATCTGAGATATATGTATCTTCAAAAGACTTACGATTTGCTTTTGTTACCACTTAAGGATCCAGATAATGAGGTGGTACTACGAGTTATCAGAAACCCCTCAAGTCTTTCACCATGGCTTGACTTTGTAGATTGTATGGTTTGAGTTAAAGTGATTATTCACTTTTCGTTTCTTCTACTTGCCTAATCTTGACTTTAAATTTATAATTTGTTTAAAATGTTTATTTCTTATATAATTTTGAGTTGGAACGGTTGTTAAACCAGCCTCTCAGATATTATATAAGATTATAAAAAAAAGATAAAAAAAATATAAATAATAAAAATTTAATATTTTAAATAATGGAAAAAATTTTATTGAGCACTTGTTCTTTTATTCTTTGTAACTTACTTTAATATTGTAATATCCAATCACAAAATGAATCAACTACAATACACAAAAAAAAACTATCTGTCAAAATTGAAATATGTATATATTTATAGATATAGGTATATGCAAACAGCCTGAGTAAATTTCAGAGAATGTCCAAATTTGGGTCTCCTTCTCTATTTATTAACTCGAGAAGGCGCTTCATCCCCCAAATTTCTCTCTATCTTGTGTAGGTTTAAATTTGGTAAATGTGTGTGAGAAATTCTGACAGCTGATTGCTTGAAAATCCGCGGTTTTCCCTTCCTACCTTTCTTCGTGTACTTTTGCTATATATTTCTTACCGCCAAATTTTCCCTCTAATCGCATTTTTCGCGGCGTCCTATTTTCTTAGCCAATAATATTTAAATTATTTTTGTAAGGACAAAGCGATTTCTCTCTTTCTAATTCCGTTATAACGTATACAGAGTACAATGCTATTGTCCAGCTGTCAATCATTTCTCAATTATTAATATAGTTTCTTTAAATCTTTAATATCTTAAAAAATAATGATTTGACAAAGATTTTACTTTTATCATTAATTTTTAAATAATTTTTACTTTTATGCGACATATAATTTTTACTTTAATGTTATTAATTTAAGCAATTAAATAAAATAATTTGTATTATTTTATATAAAAAATGAAAAATACCGTTAATTAATTTAATTGTAGTTTATATTTATTTTTAATATTGTTAATAAAAAATCATAAAATTTGAATTAAATTAATAATTTCTTTATATTCAAAATTATATCTTTCCTCTCTTACTATTATTTTTCTCATGTATACCTGTCTATAGTGTTATCTATGAATGTCTTTCTTTAAATATTTAATTATTTTTATAAAAATTTTGCAAAATAAAATAATTTCTATTATTTTATTTATCAACATTTAAGTTAATGTTAAAAAAGTATTTTATTTATTTATTATTAATTATTTAATATAGTATTTAAACATTAAATTTATTCTACCTATGCATTTTATATTTTTGGAGTTTCTATATTAGTGTATAGTTTATACATTCATATTATTTTCTCTAAACATATTTTAAAGTTTTGTATATATAAATCAAACGGTGCAAGTTATTTAAATTTTTTTTATTTATAACGTTAAATTGTCCTGTTCTGAAGATATGCCCACATATGGGATTATTTGTATATTCCGGACCTACTAAAAAATTATTTTAATTACACTTTTTATGTTTAAATAACGAAATAAAATACATATATTATGCATGGGACGTTTCACGCAACAAGCCCACAGCTCTGCAAAAAAATCTAATTAATAAAAATAAACATGCAATACATCAAAATACTTGTAAATTAATAACCATTTAATAAAAACGTGTCAGAATTAAAAATTGAAAATAGCGTATTTAAGGTACCGCTTTAAAGATGCTGTATTCGTGAATAAACATATTAATTTCTTCCTAAAAATGATGCATAAATGTTGGGTCGTGATATATTCTAATGTTTTTTGGGCCGCTGATTACGAATCTGAAGTCCAATTTGCAAAATTCAAAATGGCTAATCCAATATGATTCAATTGATTGATCACCTTTTTATTTAAGAACTAGTTTACGAGTATTTTAGTTTATTATATGTTTATTTTTATTGATTAGAATTTTGGGCAGAGCTCTGTAGTAGTGGAGCTCATGATGCTAAATGGGGATTAACTCGAGCGTCATGATATTTTGTACTTTAGATGATAAGGAAAATAAAAGGTTTTATAAGTTTTCAGTGGTAGGAGAAGCGTCTACAAATTTTCAAAAATGTACAAAAAAATTACATGAAAATACTTGCGCGTGTCAAATATGAATTGTTCGGATACGCAAACGTGTCTCTGATACCAAAGGTATGTTCATCTGCCAGTTTTCTGGTGGTGGTGGCCCTCCCGATTGATAGAAAATAGAAAAAAAACAATTTTTGCTCCAATGCGTCAGATCTAAATTTAGAGTGGATTTTAAAACAACCCTAGAAATGCTCCCATTCAAAAGACTGACATTTCAAAAGTGACGCAAGCTTGTACCGAATTTTTTTAATTGCAATAAAATCGCTATCTTGAAATACTCTAGCGCTTGAAATTAAACCCTGCTTGAGAATGTCAAAACAACGTTTTGTTTTGCAAATTTGTAACCCTCTCACTCTCTTACGTTACGCTCAAATCCTAAGATTTTTTAAATGTACATTTTTTAGCTAGTAATTCACCCACCTTACCTATATTGTTACATCCCAGTAACAAAAATTTTAAAAATATATTTCATTTATATAGGCATATAATAAGTAGTAAAATTAATAGTAAACAAATCTTTATTCTTAATCTGTTTAAAATTGATAATCTAAAATTATAATTATTTCTAATATTATATTGAAGCATTGACTCATATATATCATTACATGTGTCTATGTCTATATATATACATATCTCTGCCTGCATGCTATGACTCGACGCAAGCGAACAATGCATATAGATATAGTGCGTACAGGCGTGGATATGTGAGTATAGATATAGCGCGTAGATGCATCACCGAAGGTGACCTCCCGCTACAGAAGGGCTATGCTAAGGAATCGCGTGTTGTTGTTGAACAAGAGCGAAAACTATCTATACTAGTTTTCGCCCTAATTCTTCAAAACTAATTATTTCTTTTTACAATATTATATAAAATTCAATTACCTATTACACAGCCACACAAAAAAAAGTACCCGGGCCGGGGAATGAGACCACCATTTCTTGATGTATTTTGATGCGCTGAACACGAATCTGAAGTCCGTTTAGCTCCATCACGTCAGGATTTTGACATAACCTTAAAAAACATAGCTGATTTTAAATGACAGGAGAAATTTTTTAAATAGTGGCAGATTTGCTTGAATCTTGTTACTCGGGGGTTTTTGGGGTCGCTGATTACGAATTTAACGTCAGATTTATAAAATTCAAAATGGCGGATCCAATATGGCGGA